CTAAGGAGGCGTACCTCCTTACCAACCCGTGGTGGCGCGTACGTTTCTCTAGTGAGTTGTACGAAGGGATTGACAACCTGAAATCCCTTTACGACCGTGCCGAAAGACTTTCTCCGGCGGTCCTTCTGCGGCACAGGATGTGCCGCGTCGTACTACTCGACCAGACCCAGTACGTCAACAATCAGTTGGGAGCGGGGCTCCCAAGTATCCCAAGACGGGAGATAACCGCGCCACCGGACGAGGTAACTCGTCCGAAGTCCGTTTACGTCGCGGTGGTTTAACAGCTGCTCAACCAGATAGCGCTGGCCACCGCGAGAGTCCTCTAATGGAGGTGGAGGAGGAGGGAAGACGCTCTCCACACGATCGTCGGGATCCGTGTGTTCCCGAAAGCTTCTTTGATCGCGTAACGCAAGGGTTACGCGGCGATCTCGAACATGAGCGGGACAGGCGTCTCCAAATGGCGGACACTGTCTTGAAGCATCGAGCTGAGTTTTCCTTTGCTCAGCTTGAGAACGAGAGAGATTTGACATCTCTTCGTGACGAGCTAAGGGTAGCTCGTGGGATTGTTGATCGGTCTCGGGATGAGATAAATGCTCTCCAGACCCTTGTCGATGCCTATCATCGGGAGCGCAAGGCTCTCTGCGAGATGCTTGAGCGCAAGGGCGTTCTTCATCGGAAGAAGCAGCGTACTGATGGTACAGCTTAAGCCGACCAACGTAAAAACGTGGGATGCGTTCGCATCTTACGTGGCAACTCGATCGTGCATGCATTGCCTAGGCGGTGCAATACACGAAATGGGCCGATGTACTTGGGTAGTAGTAAACTACTACCCAAGTCAGTCACTACGTGCTTTGGTAGATCAACCGTAGACAGTAGGACTAAGTCACCTTAATTAAATAAAAGAGTGTTTGCCCTTCCATTATTGTCAGCGTTTTGCTTTTGCTTATCCACCGCTTCGGCGATGGAGTCTTGCACAAAACGGACTACCGTTTCACGATCCAGTATGAACTCATCCGATGACTCGTTAGCTTCAGTGCGTTGTGAGTGCACTGCAGCTCCATCAATCTTTTATTCAGTGAGAGCTTCCGCACTCTCACTGGCATCATCTTCTTCGATACCGATGTTGTCGATGTCGGCATCAAACGCAATGACCTCGTCGTCAGAGCGTGATGAGCGTGAACCAAATCGGTTTTTGCTTGCGCGAGTCCCTCCCCCCCTCAAACCAGGGCACACTCTAGTAAGGTGGGTACACGCGGATGGCGTAAGCCATTCACGTAAAACGGTGTATGTGCCGTGGACGCATGCACCGAGTTGTTAATGGCAAACTCTACCATTGGCAATAACGCACTCCAACTGTTAAAGGAGTGTACGTATCCTCGAAGTATCTCTTCGAGGACACGATTGGCACGTTCGGTCTGACCATCTGACTCTGGATGGTCAGATGTAGACATCTTCAAGCGCGTTCCGAGTGATTTGAACACGGAACGCCAGAAATCAGCAGTGAAGCGTGAATCTCTGTCTGATACGAGTTCACGGGGCAACCCATGAAGTCGGAAGATGGTGTCAATAAAGACACAAGCACAGCCACTTGCCGTGATTGACTCTGGTACAGCCACAAGGTGTACCATTTTGCTGAATCTGTCAACAAATGCGAGAATACCCGTATTCCTGCGTGCGTCTTTGGTAACCCGAAGACGAAATCCATTGAGATGGATTCCCAGCACTCTGCCGGAACCGGTAGAGGCTGTAAAGGTGCACGCAGTGAAGGACTTGACTTCACTCGTTGACAGACTTCGCATGCGCGAACATACTTTCGCACAAACTGATACTGGCGGGGCCAGTAAAAGTCTCGACTCACCGTGAGATATGTTTATCCCGGCCACGATGTCCTCCTATAGGAGCATCGTGATACTCGAACATGATCCGCAAACGCAGATCAGTATCATCTGGAATGATAATTCGTGGTGTGTCACCAGAAACGGCTGTATAATACAGTAAACCGTTGCGAGTAGTGTGTCGATCTGATGCAGATCGAAACGCAGACGATAATCGTTTCAACGATTCTCGAGATGGCTGTGAGAGATGTGTCAACAACTTCACAATCTCACCATCTTTGGCGTATGCCCGCCTCACATCATCATACAACGTTGTAGATGGGACTGAGGACGTCATAACCGCAACAGTGACTATCTCACTGTTGGGTTTCACGACTGGTTCAAAGTCGGGACGACGTGAGAGTGCATCAGCGACGACATTAAGTCGTCCTGGTTCGTACTCGAACGTAAAGTTGTATTCTGCAAAGAATGACAACCACCGCGCCATTCGTTGTGAAAGGTGTAGGCTTTTCACTGCCGTGCGTAATGACGCATGGTCAGTGTAAACAATGAAGGGTCTATCTCCTAATAGATAGACTCTGAACTTCGCGATTGCATACTTCATGGCAAGGAATTCCTTGTCATGCACTGGATAGTTCCGCTCAGCTGGTTGCAGCTGACGCGACTGATAGAAGGCGACACGTTCAACGCCTTCAAGATCGTACTGCATTAATGCACAGCCGATTGCGAAATCGCTGGCATCACAGACCACATGAAATGGCCTGTCCTGATCGGCTATTGCTAGGACTGGGGATTGTATCAAGCTCTGCTTGATACCATCAAAGGAGCGCTGACATTCAGCGTTCCATAACCACCTCTCGTTCTTTTTCAACAAACAAGAGAGGTGCACAGTCATCTCGGCTTAATTAAGTGAATACTTATGCGAATACGCCGCTAGCCCAAGGAATTTTCGAAGACCTTTGACATCAACCGACACAGGCCAGTCGGTGATCGCCTTGATCTTTTCGGGATCAGGACGTACACCGTTCTTACCAATGATGCACCCAAGAATTGTATTTCGCTTGCTGCAAATATACACTTCTTGAGGTTTGCAAACAATTGATGCTTTAGCATGATTGTAAGAACCTGTCGGACGTGGTACCTGTGAACCTCAACGTCCAACTTTCCATCCATAGCTCGACTATGGATGAATACGCCATCGAAATAACTCGGCGCGAATTCTCGTACTGGTCTCCACAGATGTGATACACATCTGTTGAACGTGGCAGGGGCAATACCAAGCTCTTGTGGCAGTACTAGCCATTCCCAGAGCATGCCGCTAGGCGTGCTCACTGCGGTCTAGGGCATATCCCGTTCTCGCATAAGGATTTGATAGAAGCCATCCATCAAATCCATGGACGAAAAGATGGTACTCTTTGACATACCATCAATGATTACGTCCTTCCTTGGTATCGGCGTCTGGGCCGGTACCGTTGCAGCATACAACTTGCTAAATGCATGCACTATCCACCACCCTCCTGTTGCTTTTCGCACACAGAAGGTCGGAGAGCTATGTGGAGAAGTTGATTCCCTCACATGGCCCGCAGCTAAACGATCGACAAAGAACTTGTCGATCGCAAGTACTTGTTCACGAAGCAGTGGCCACTGCTTCATGACAAAGTACTTCGAGCCTGGTTTAAGCTCGACCTCGTGACGAATACCTTTATCCTTCGGTAATTCGCGCGGAACAGTTTCATGGAATACATCCTTGAATTCAACCAAATCTATGTAGAGAGGATTTGTCTTGAGCGATTTCCACGATCAAGAGTCATATCGCTCAACTCGTGTCTTTTCATCTAGGACACTCTCATCCATTGATGAACTACTGAGAACTCTCTCGTTCTCAGTAAACACTGCTGCCGACCTTATGTCGGCTACACACTCGTCGTCAGCGACGAGTACGCAGATCTGCTTGACTTTGCCACTACGCAGATCACGCAAGAACCTTTTATGTTCGAGCGTCGGCAACTGAGTGATCTCCGAAGTCAACTTCGGAGGCGCAACCCGATCAAGTGTATACACGCCTACACTGGATCCGTTATTGACTATGAAATTCAATATCTCTGTCATTTCCTGGGGACTTATTCCCTCAGGCTTCGAAGGACTTATTCCTTCGGCTTCCCTGGGACTTATTCCCGCGGGATTCGGGGAACTTATTTCCATCGTATTTGTAATATCGGGACTTATTCCCTTAACTTCCTCTAGCTGGGGTTGCGCAACCACAGCGAGATCCTCTACGAAAGACTCTCCAGTCGATCTAGGATTATCGTTTCGCTTAACCTGAGCGATCGACTGTTTCTCTTCTAGATGTTCCCCTCTAGGGATACATCTTTGTCCCAGTCCACCCGACTTATTCGAGTGGTGGACCTTCGGCGCAGCCTGTGTTTCCCTCACAGCCGCCGGAACTTTGCTCCGAAGTGTAACCGTTTATTACACTAAGGTTTGTTTGTGAGTCGTACCAATGACCGTACCACAAGTGAGGCCATCGCACTCACTCGTAGTACATCCACACGCTTGTGGACGCTCCAAAACGTTCAGTAGATGGCCATCTGATGAACAAGCGGCAGGCATCGTTACTGTTCGATGTTGCCAGTTTACTCGTGGTTCGTACCTTCTGAGCTACGGTATTGCAAGGATGACATCAAATTTGTCATCCAGATCCAATACGATAAAGTCATCGTCATATTGGGTATCTTCTAGCGTATAGTGGATCTTCACTATACGCTTCATGACGGTTACAGATGCGCCTGTCGCAAGACGTACCGTCATCCTCGTAGGAGGTGTGTCACATTCACTGAACTTGAAGTGACCACCTTCTAGCGATTGGCGTCGCACAAAATTGTTAGACGCCCCACAATCGACAGGAGCTCGAGGGGACAACTTATTTGTCACTTCGAGTTTCAAGGTAATGAGTGAGATCTCATTACCTAGAGCAGCAACGCACAACGTTTATGTGTTGGGAGCAACCTTCATCAAGAGGCCTACAGATTCTCTTGACGTTGCTGGACCAGTAGGGTGCTCCGCACCTACTGATCCCTGTCCGTTTTTGACGGTCCATCCCGTTGTTGCGTCTTTGCACCAACGGCGGACCCGCGTCCCTGTCCCTTTCTCATGGGTGGACGGTCACTACGCCCAGTGTTGCGAGACACTGGACGAGGGGGCACTACACTCGTAAGCGTAGTGTCCTGTCTTTTGACATCTGTTGCATTTCTGCAACTTCTTGTAGTCCGTAGAGCGAGCCTTCTCGCTCTCTACATAACAGAGTTCCATCGGCTCTGGACCTCCGCTGTCATATTGTCTCGGTTGACGATATGATGTCGAGCTGGCGCGAGCCTGTCTCAGACTGAAGTCTTCCTGTTCCGCAATGTAAATGGCTTGTTCTAGTGAATCTAGTTCAAGTCGGAACAGGTGAGTCTTGACGGGACCATCCGCAAGACCCTGCATGAACACCGAAACCATCGTGTGTTCATCAATCGGGTTGGAACTTATACAACTCGTGAGATGTCGTATATGTTGCGCGTAAGCGTGCACATCACGCTTACCTTGCTTGAGCTTCAAGAGTTCGTTTCGAGCTCTGAACTCAGCTCTAGGCGGTTCAAACGTTTGTCTGAGCCGCGACTTGAAGACTTCTAACGACCCAAACGCATATGGGTCGTGCAAGTTGAGCCCCAGTGCCCAAGTCTTGGCACGTCCTGCCAGATTTGACTGGGCAAATGCAACTTGCATATCCCCGTCGTCGATGCGACGCGCCCTTATGGCGTCATCCAATTCGACGAACCATCCCATGAGGGAGTCCTCTTCGACTCTTCTATACTTGGAGATGTCAATCTTCAAAGTCTCGGGTCGACGTGAATGCATCGACCCACCAGCAGCAGCCTGCTGCTGTCTCAACAGTCAAACTGTTGAGCACCCTGTTCTCTCAACACTGCTTGTTGAGAACCTTGTTGGTGAAGCAAGGCTACTTTCTCGCTTTCTGCGTCAAGTTCATTTTGAATGAACTTGGAGATAGTAGCATGTTGGGCATCTCTATTGAGAGCCTCTAGCATGACGCTAACAGCATGGATACCCATGGTTGAACCCATCCGTTCAACCGCATCCCATTCGACATTGCTCAAATGGGAGTAGCCATCACGCGTAGCGTGAAAGCTTTGGTAATCTTCATCATCCAACGTATTCATGTTAGATGTGAACGTGGTCCTTGGACGGACTACGAAGTGCTACCAGGTGTAACGGGGCACCCTGAAGCTTGTACTGGTGACAGTAAAAGCTACTTAATCTGATGACAGAATAAGGCGGTGCCTCGGAACTTCACGTACACTCGTACGTGCAGAGGAAGACGGTAAGAAGAAGCGAGTACTTGGTTAAAGAAAAAAATAGAACTGTATTCAGCATAGTTAATGTCTGCAATAAATTATTAGTAAAAAGTAGAACTGAATTCAGCATAGTTAATGTCTGCAATAAATTACTATTTATCCTCATCTAACTATGTCTGAATACGAATGTGCATATCATCTATCTGCTCACCACTCATTGCGTGCGTCTGTCGTGGCGCGTCTTCGTTGGTTGATATAAATATAATGGTCTATATCAACCAATTAGGAACTACTCATTAGTGCTACAGAACATTTGTCCTTTTGACAACATTCTGAGAATCTAACTCTTATAGTTATATTCTATCAACAATTTCTGACAAATTGTTATGTAACGATTCACCCCGTTACATCTTACCTCTTAAAGGCTTTACACTAAAGACCAGAGCGCGAGTTCTGGATTTATTTTTCGGTTTTGGAATTTGCCGAGTAGGCATGGAAGATGCTAAATGGTCATGGACCTGTCCGATCAACGTAAACCTAAAATTTGGAAAGGCCATAAGACGTGCACGAAGTGCGTCCGGGCTTTTCGCCATTATAAGCACCACTTGCTCGTGCCCGACGAACGCGTTGAGATTTTCAAGCGTGATCTGCTGGGCCTCAGAGAGGTATATGGCCGTCTCCATCCTCGCAGAGGATTCAGTCTGCGAAGACTCAGGTGTAGACTGACTACGAGTGCTACTAAGTGTATCGGAGCTACTTAGCCCTCCTCAACACAGGAAGTAATGGACATAAAGAGTCTCTTAGTTATAACAAACTAACAACGACGTATATTCGTTTAAGCGTACAGGCTTAACAATTCAGTTCCAGAGGGATTATGATTCACAGAATCACACACGAACTAGTCCCTGCCAGCTAAACAAGAGTAACGCCTTTGCAAGGCTAATGTCACGGAATGAATCGTTACATAACAATTTGTCAGAAATTGTTGATAGAATATAACTATAAGAGTTAGATTCTCAGAATATTGTCATAAGGACAAATGTTCTGTAGCACTAATGAGTAGTTCCTAATTGGTTGATGTAGACCATTATATCAACCAACGAAGACGCGCCACGACAGACGCACGCAACGAGTGGTGAGCAGATAGATGATATGCACATTCGTATTCAGACATAGTTAGATGAGGATAAATAGTAATTTATTGCAGACATTAACTATGCTGAATACAGTTCTATTTTTTTCTTTAACCAAGTACTCGCTTCTTCTTACCGTCTTCCTCTGCACGTACGAGTGTACGTGAAGTTCCGAGGCACCGCCTTATTCTGTCATCAGATTAAGTAGCTTTTACTGTCACCAGTACAAGCTTCAGGGTGCCCCGTTACACCTGGTAGCACTTCGTAGTCCGTCCAAGGACCGCGTTCACATCTAACATGAATACGTTGGATGATGAAGATTACCAAAGCTTTCACGCTACGCGTGAAGGCTACTCCCATTTGAGCAATGTCGAATGGGATGCGGTTGAACGGATGGGTTCAACCATGGGTATCCATGCTGTTAGCGTCATGCTAGAGGCTCTCAATAGAGATGCCCAACATGCTACTATCTCCAAGTTCATTCAAAATGAACTTGACGCAGAAAGCGAGAAAGTAGCCTTGCTTCACCAACAAGGTTCTCAACAAGCAGTGTTGAGAGAACAGGGTGCTCAACAGTTTGACTGTTGAGACAGCAGCAGGCTGCTGCTGGCGGGTCGATGTATTCACGTCGACCCGAGACTTTGAAGATTGACATCTCCAAGTATAGAAGAGTCGAAGAGGACTCCCTCCTGGGATGGTTCGTCGAATTGGATGACGCCATAAGGGCGCGTCGCATCGACGACGGGGATATGCAAGTTGCATTTGCCCAGTCAAATCTGGCAGGACGTGCCAAGACTTGGGCACTGGGGCTCAACTTGCACGACCCATATGCGTTTGAGTCGTTGGAAGTCTTCAAGTCGCGGCTCAGACAAACGTTTGAACCGCCTAGAGCTGAGTTCAGAGCTCGAAACGAACTCTTGAAGCTCAAGCAAGGTAAGCGTGATGTGCACGCTTACGCGCAACATATACGACATCTCACGAGTTGTATAAGTTCCAACCCGATTGATGAACACACGTTGGTTTTGGTGTTCATGCAGGGTCTTGCGGATGGTCCCGTCAAGACTCACCTGTTCCGACTTGAACTAGATTCACTAGAACAAGCCATTTACATTGCGGAGCAGGAAGACTTCAGTCTGAGACAGGCTCGCGCCAGCTCGACATCATATCGTCAACCGAGACAATATGACAGCGGAGGTCCAGAGCCGATGGAACTCTGTTATGTAGAGATCGAGAAGGCTCGCTCTACGGACTACAAGAAGTTGCAGAAATGCAACAGATGTCAAAAGACAGGACACTACGCTTACGAGTGTAGTGCCCCTCGTCCAGTGTCTCGCAACACTGGGCGTAGTGACCGTCCACCCATGAGAAAGGGACAGGGACGCGGGTCCGCCGTTGGTGCAAAGACGCAACAACGGGATGGACCGTCAAAAACGGACAGGGATCAGTAGGTGCGGAGCACCCTACTGGTCCAGCAACGTCAAGAGAATCTGTAGGCCTCTTGATGAAGGTTGCTCCCAACACATAAACGTTGTGCGTTGCTGCTCTAGGTAATGAGATCTCACTCATTACCTTGAAACTCGAAGTGACAAATAAGTTGTCCCCTCGAGCTCCTGTCGATTGTGGGGCGTCTAACAATTTTGTGCGACGCCAATCGCTAGAAGGTGGTCACTTCAAGTTCAGTGAATGTGACACACCTCCTACGAGGATGACGGTACGTCTTGCGACAGGCGCATCTGTAACCGTCATGAAGCGTATTGTGAAGATTCACTATACGCTAGAAGATACCCAATATGACGATGACTTTATCGTATTGGATTTGGATGACAAATTTGATGTCATCCTTGCAATACCGTAGCTCAGAAGGTACGAACCACGAGTAAACTGGCAACATCGAACAGTAACGATGCCTGCCGCTTGTTCATCAGATGGCCATCTGATGAACGTTTTGGAGCGTCCACAAGCGTGTGGATGTACTACGAGTGAGTGCGATGGCCTCACTTGTGGCACGGTCGTTAGTACGACTGCACAAAACCTTAGTGTACCAAACGGTTACACTTCGGAGCAAAGTTCCGGCAGCTGTGAGGAAACACAGGCTGCGCCGAAGGTCCACCACTCGAATAAGTCGGGTGGACTGGGACAAAGATGTATCCCTAGAGGGGAACATCTAGAAGAGAAACAGTCGATCGCTCAGGTTAAGCGAAACGATAATCCTAGATCGACTGGAGAGTCTTTCGTAGAGGATCTCGCTGTGGTTGCGCAACCCCAGCTAGAGGAAGTTAAGGGAATAAGTCCCGATATTACAAATACGGCGGAAATAAGTTCCCCGAATCCCGCGGGAATAAGTCCCAGGGAAGCCGAAGGAATAAGTCCTTCGAAGCCTGAGGGAATAAGTCCCCAGGAAATGACAGAGATATTGAATTTCATAGTCAATAACGGATCCAGTGTAGGCGTGTATACACTTGATCGGGTTGCGCCTCCGAAGTTGACTTCGGAGATCACTCAGTTGCCGACGCTCGAACATAAAAGGTTCTTGCGTGATCTGCGTAGTGGCAAAGTCAAGCAGATCTGCGTACTCGTCGCTGACGACGAGTGTGTAGCCGACATAAGGTCGGCAACAGTGTTCACTGAGAACGAGAGAGTTCTCATGAGTTCATCAATGGATGAGAGTGTCCTAGATGAAAAGACACGAGTTGAGCGATATGACTCCCAATCGCGGGAATCGCTCAAGACAAATCCTCTCTACATAGATTTGGTTGAATTCAAGGATGTATTCCCTGAAACTGTTCCGCGCGAATTACCGAAGGATAAAGGTATTCTTCACGAGGTCGAGCTTAAACCAGGCTCGAAGTACTTTGTCATGAAGCAGTGGCCACTGCCTCGTGAACCAGTACTTGCGATCGACAAGTTCTTTGCCGATCGTTTAGCTGCGGGCCATGTGAGGGAATCAACTTCTCCACATAGCTCTCCGACCTTCTGTGTGCGAAAAGCAACAGGAGGGTGGTGGATAGTGCATGCATTTAGCAAGTTGTATGCTGCAACGGTACCGGCTCAGACGCCGATACCAAGGAAGGACGTAATCATTGATGGTATGTCAAAGAGTACCATCTTTTCGTCCATGGATTTGATGGATGGCTTCTATCAAATCCTTATGCGAGAACGGGATATGCCCTAGACCGCAGTGAGCACGCCTAGCGGCATGCTCTGGGAATGGCTAGTACTGCCACAAGAGCTTAGTAATGCCCCTGCCACGTTCAACAGATGTGTATCACATGTGTTGAGACCAGTACGAGAATCGCGCCGAGTTATTTCGATGACGTATTCATCCATAGTCGAGCTATGG